CACACACACACAGACACACACACACACACACAGACACACACACACACTCACACAAACAAACAAATTCTTGCATTTGTGTAGTTCAAATGAAATGGTAGAAGTGACTGCGAAAAAGGATAATCTGAGCTTGTTCACCCACCACAATAATGATGATGATAAAAGAAGAATAAGAATAAGAATTGCATAGTTTTATTACTTTGCTTCTGCTTTTGTGTTTTTGAATAAACAGAATCAGATCGACGCAATAATGTTTATTTAGTGATGGGAAAAAATAAGACGAAAAGACATATTATGACTTTCCAGTGGCGCCCAGCAACCACTGGCAAGCTCAACTTCTCTGCACACATAGTCGATCACGACACAGAGAAATCGCAATCATATATAGTGAGTGATGTTGCGTGTTAGGACGACAGCGAATCGTAACAATGAAAGATTCTGAAACAATAAGTCTTTGCAAGAGCATCACTTTCTTTCTGTTATCTTGCTTTGATATTGTAAGTGGGTAGTTGGGGAGTTTCTTGCTTAGATATTGTGCGCGGATGGTTTTTCTTTTTCTGTTTTGTTGTGTTGTTGTTGTTTGATTGTTTTGGGTTGGGGGGTGGGGGGGGAGGGGCCACCAGTAGTCTTACCTCTTTTATTTTCCCTAGTTCTTTCTGTCCATGTTGCTTGCTCTTCCCCTGCACTAAATGGCAATTATCGTGTTGATGTGCTTCTAATTCCTCTAAACTAACAAGAAATATCATAACCAGTTCATGTCTTTGGGATTATATTATGAGCTATTGAACACGAGGTTTAGGGGAGGAAAGGGGTGGCTCTAGATTGATTATGTTGCAACGGATTGCCCTGTAATGCTTTTTGAGGTTTGTTAGGCATATACATGTAATATCAGCCTGGCGTTTCCCTGAAGCTGAGTGGCTTAGAGTTGTTGTTTTTTCTAAGGTCCTTCTTCTGTCTTGTCGGCGACCTTTTGCAGTTGCGAGCTCAGCAAAACTCTTACCAGACTAAACAAAACGAAGGTATTTATTATGGGCCCTGTTCCTTGTACTATCTACACTTAATTGTAAGCTGTGTATAATTTCACTTAACGATAAAACATATAAATAATATACAAACGACGCTTATAAGAGTTATAAAGGTCCATGTCTTGCGAAAAGTGTATCGCATGATGTTCCCCTCTGTTATTTAAATTCATTTTTGCTATAGTACAGAGCACTCCGTTAGCTCAGTTGGTAAGTATTATTTTGGACTACTGGCCGGATGGCCGTGGTTTGAATCCCCGACTGTGAGTTCTTGAATTTGGGTCGTTTTGAGGAGTTTTCAAGGCTCTCAACCCAGTTGGCTCAAAGTCAAATCCATCCTTTCGGAGACGGACTTTACACTCCGAGGTCTTGCCACTTACAAACTTAATTGTGTTGTGATAGAAGCGTTAAACGTACATATATTATACACTTACTTGCTTACTTACTGCTGTTGGTCAAGATATTGTCAAAAGGGATTGTTGTGAGATGACGTCATTTGGCGTTAACCTGATTGGGCTGCGCTGTGCAGAGATTCCGATATCGAATATCGTCAAAGCGTGAATGTCATTAACCGACTGCGTCGCACCTCCCTC